ATTCTCACGTTCTGATAGATCTTACATGTAAAAGCACACAAAACTTCTATGAAGTATTATAGGTTCAGAATAACCTTGTGGTGAACGGTGTACACTGCTTCCTCCTCTTGGATCAAAAGTTTTCACACTACATGCAGAAAACATATTCAGAAGCAAGAAGAAAAGTGTAAGTCCCAAAATGCTTACATATGTCAGTGATGAAGACAGAAAACACCCTGCCTAAAAAGAGTTTACTTTTATTTAATTTCTTACTCTACTTATTGATTTTCTGACTATTTTTTCTACAGATCTGACCCATCACAGGAAGTGCAGATCTCTGAATAAAGGTACATGACATATGACTACAGCTGGATATTAGTTTTCTGAGACCAGTACTCGCATATTGACAGCTGACTTTTATCTAGGTAAGAGCTCTATGTGTTACGTGTTTCCTTGCTTCAATATACTTCATTTTCCATAGAGCTGAAGTTCATCTGCAGAGATCTGCACTGAGAGTAACTGAGAAATCTGTTTTCTGTTTGAAAGGGAACTTGTGTATTTGTATGTGTGTGTATTTGTGTGTGTGTGTGTGTAAACCTGTTGGTTTTAAACAAGAAAGGACTCATCAATACTTGCATTACAGATATGAAACAATGGCTCAATTATTAAAAGTGAGAGTACACACACATCTAAAGAGTAGGTCTAAGCTTGCCGTTTGCATTCACATAAAGCCACAGGACTACTGGAGTGAGGAGGTTCTACTCTGCTAACTGCAGGTTATAGGTGTGATCTGCTAATAATCACTTTGATCTGAAAAGTAAAGTGACCCTAAGAGAACTGTCAATGCAATTCACGATCTGTCACAACTACAGCTTCACTTCCTAGCTCTTATAGTTGTAGAAAATAAATGTATGACATATACAAAATCTAATTATTACTTGGACTCTCTTCAAATCATATCAAATTAAGACCTCAGAACTTACCAAACACCACCACTACTGCTGCCTGCAAAACTCTCTTCACCCCTGAAGGCCTTCCATCATGATAGAGTATTCTCTGTGTGTGTTTATTTTTTCAGCCTGTCTTCTGCCTTATTAGGTATGCAGTAAATAAAAGTTACATGTTTTAAGGTCTTGTAAGCATATGAGTGATATTTAGTGCATAATGATACTTCTGAAAAAGTGCAACATCAGTGAAATCCTGCTTCCTGTTGATAGTTGCATTTGAAATAGCACAGCTCAACCTAGTCATGATGACATCCAACATATAATTATCAAAGCACGGATTTCAGAGTTATTATCTAAGTAAGAAAGTCACAATATACTGGAATAAAGGTTGTAGACAATTGATTATCTTTGTTCAGAGTCTCTCTCTGTTGTATAATTTTATCATGACTCTATAATTCAAAATGCCAGCTAATAATAATATTAATATGCCTCTCCACTTTGGTTCCTAATATTTGTTTACCATCTGTGAATATGAAAAGAAATTAAATGTTAGCTACAACTGGAAACCATCTCAAATACTTGAAACAGAACAGTGAGGACTTAAAGACCAAACATACAGCTTGGTCTTTATTATTGGTTTTATTCTTACTCACATAAGTAGTTCCTCTGAATTTTCCAGATTTTGAATGTCTGTTCAACAGGCAGCAGTATGGACTTCATCTGCATTAATTTATTATTCCAAGCAACAAATTATTAAAACAATTTTCTGGCTAATCAAAACCATGCTTTGTAACCATCCGTGTGAGATCAGAATTTTTAATCACTCTGCATGGGTTGTAGCAATATGAAGAACAAGATTGAAAAATCTATTTTATAAGAAATATTTAGCAAATAAAATCTAAATCTCATTCAGAGCTAAAATCACTGTGAAGTATCAGTTATTCCATAATTGCACATCTGAAATTCTTTGCTACTCTCTTTGAAGTCTTTCTTAGCAACAGAGAAAGGTCATTTAAAATTACTACTGGTCCTATTCACTGTGGCAGCTTCTATGATGCCAAGAGCACGTAGGGAGTGGTCATCTTGTCACGACTGGAGCTGTGAAAGGACGAATAGGACACAACAGAAAGGTTGAGAGGATCAGGTTAGATCTCAGAGATCACAGCAATGCTGTGAACCAGTCACTCTCTGATGCAGTTCAGGGCTCTGGCCTCATGCTCATTCACACTGCAAAAGCCATTTGCAGTTACTCAGTCTGTGATTAAAATACACTTCTGCATACGCATTCTGTTCATGCTATGAATATAGTGGGTGGGATACCACCCAAAGATGATGAGGCCCAAGATGATGTCTATCACTCCTTATGTGGTTCTTCTGCCAGGGAATTTTCCCAGCAGCAGTGTGATTAAGCAGCAGCAGAGGTGGCACAAGCTGGCTTTACAAAAAATGGCAAATGAGTTAGCCCAGATTTAAACCACAGGTCCTGCAAGACTGGCTTAGTGATTTCAAGTTTGTGATGTGGGTGGTGTTTGATAGCTACTGGCTAGAAGCGTGTCATCAAGATGAGAAGGAAGAAACGCCTCACCTTGTAACTCTTAGTGTTCCTACCTGTGGCATGTCTATTTGCAAAGCAGCAATGACTCTTTTGGAAGCCCCCACAACCAATTATCAAGAATTACATGGCATATATCGTAGGGCAGCAACTGGCAACTCTGTAGACTGACATAACCCCACAGGAGTGCCCAGCCTAAGGTCATGGGAGCCAAAAGCTGCGCTCGAGTTTTGACATCTGCTTCTTTTAAAGGAGCAGAAAATACAGAAAAGGGACTCTCTGGGAAATCTAAATCCCAGGGCACATCTTGTGAGTGCCACAGTTAAAGTGACAGAATAACCAGGTGCCTCCTCGCTAAGACTCGGTGCCACAACGGAGCCTTGAGAAAGGGGATAGTCGGTGCAAAAACCTGCTAAAGCACTGGAAAAAAGTCTATTTGCATTTGGAGTACTAAAAGTTCAATGTTTAGGTGAACTTGGTGAGGAATGGTTGTGGAATTAACTAAGCTAAGAGTAATAGATTTCAAGTATTCCTTATAAAAGGGAAAATGTATTTCACTCCATCACCTGAAAAATGTACAAGTACAGCTACTGCAGGTCTTACTTCTTTAGTTAGGTATTGTATAATTAATCTATATGAAAACCCGCAACTGTATCTAAAGTGCACTGGAATTTAGTCACTGTTCCTGCAGAAATGGATATTATTTAGTAGCATTCCTGTGTTAATATTCTTTTATGAGGTTGAGCTATTAAATCATAATCAAAACTCCAGTTCAAATTGCAGGATTACTGTAAGAAATCATTCTTAAAGAATCTCTTAAAAAATTCCATAAAGAAATTACAGGCAGAAGACAGCCTATCTTTCCTATGCAGTACAAGATGACCCTTTATGGTACTTGGTCAATGAGATTGTCTAGTCCCATTTAAAAGTGTACAAGAAAAAATTATTCAATAAAACACTCTGTTTAGTAGCCTGAAAGCTCTACTTCAAAATTTTACCTGCAGATATCAGTGTCTTTGGGTTTTACTGCTATGGAACCAGACAATATAGATTTGGTTCTTACTTTCTACTTTCAGTGATTTTAGATTGAGGCTCTGGAGTATGTCCAGAGAAGGTCAGTGGAGATGATGAAGGGTCTGGAGCATGAGTCTTTTGAAAAGTATCTGGGGGAATTAAAGCAATTGAGCCTGGAGAAAGGAGGGTCAGGGGTGACCTAATTGCTCTCTACAACCGCCTGAAAGGAGGCTGCAGGCAAGTGGGGGGTCAGTCTCTTCTTCCAAGAAGTAAGTAAAGGACAAGAAGAAAAAGCCTCAAGTTTCACAGTGGTAGGTTTAGATTGGATATTGGGAAAGATGTCTTCACCAAAAGGGTTGTCAAGCATTTGAACAGTCTGCCCAGAGGAAATGGTAGAATCACCATCATTTAGAGGCATTTAAAAGACATCTTGATGGGGCATTTGGGGACAGGTTTAGTGGTAGACTTGACAGTGTTTGGTTAATGGTTGGACTTGATGATCTTAAAGGTCTTTTCCAACCTAACCAATTCTATGATTCAATGATTCTAGCAGTCTATTTTCTTATTGCTGGTAAAAATCTGGTTACAAAACAAGCCCATGAAAAACCTTGATGTGTCAAACTTCAAAGGAATTAATCATGAATATCTGTCTTCTCTGCTCATAATTAAAGAAAAAAAAAAAAAAGGCTTAGGTTACCTGAAAGGATGAAATAATTGACAGAACAAGTTACCTAATGGAAGTACAATTTTCTAATTAGTTGCAAGTTCAAATGATATTATTGGTTTATGCTTCAGGGCATGAACAGCACTGAATTAACTGAATAAACTTATTATAAACTGGTAATTAATGATAATTATAGAATGGAAAGACGAAGAGTGATATGATTGGCTAATAAGAGAGGAGAATGCTGAAATTAATACAACATAATTTTCTGCTCAGTACATGTTAGCCTTGTAACTAAATTAACATAAGTAATTTTAAAGCATTTTATAGAAAACTTTGTAACTGCAAAAAGGCATTATGGTGCATTAGTTCATGCCTTGTTGCATTGATGGTAATCAGCTGTGGTATTACTTTATGCTTAATGTGTTGGTTGAATATCACCAATAAATCTAAGTGCAAATGAATGCACACAAAAATCATATTCTTTTTCCCATGTATCAAAAAACTGAAAAATTAAACTTTGCAAATACTGATAGGCCTTCTGAACTAGAAATCAGACAGAAGAGGACAGCAGCAAACTAATCAAGGTCAAGAGCTAAGTACTGTGGCTTCACTAACTGAAACTGGGAAAACATGGTGACATTCCTGCCAAATCCTTTCAGAAGAGTGACAATATGGCAGAAGCAGGAAAGTGGAAAAAAGTTTTGTACACATTTGATTTTAGATTGTATATCTCAAGTCATTAAAAAACGTGCATTTCAAGTACCAAGAGCATGTAATTAATGGACTGTAAATGACTTATTTGCATATACTTTTCAGAAGTGTAAAGATATCATTAACTTACTGCTGACCAGCCACCTGAGGTGAGTAGGAGAGAGATCTTGACTTGCTGGGTCACTGGGCAGTTCTCATAATGATGTTTTTTGCCTTAGTGCTTCATTGCAATATTGCATTGACTGCAGGTTCATGTTCCACTATAGTGCTTGAGTCATGTCTTTTCTGCTGTAGAACAAGAAGAACCATTTGGTTTGCTTCTGTGGATATACCCTCTCCTCAAGTATTGCCATGGTCCAAGGAATCTCAGGTAGAGCAGAGCAACAATCAGAAGGTTTGCTATACTGAAAAAATCTCTTCTTGGTGCCAGGAACATTTAGTAAATTTGCACCAATTTCTGACCATTGTAACTGCTAAAAACTAAAGACTAATAAAAAACCTCCCTTTAAAATGAAGGGGCAAAATAGTCCATTTCAATATCAGAAACAGATATTTTAAAGCAAATAATTTTATTTCAATGCTTTTGATATGAAGCTGTTCAGTTTGAAGCAATGTTTTATATAGGAACAAATTTTAACTTTATTTGAGAAAAAGAAGTAAAACAGTTGGAAAAGAAGCAGTATCTTTATCATAAATTGTCAATTTCCCAATTTTTGATTCACAGTTCATATTTTTGAGAAAAGATTTATGCAAATGACACAAAATTATTATTTACACAGTTCTAATGCTCAGATTAAGAGATTCAGAAAAAAACAGCACTTCCACTATACATCACATTACTGCTAATGTGGCATTATTATCTCCACTCAGCAGAGGAGAGGAACAGATATTCAAAAAGTTGTGGTTTTTCACTCTTTAACACCTTGACCTCCAAATCTCAATGGAGTTACTTTGAAATCAGTATATAAATGTAGGCAACTTAGCAAATGCCACACAAGAAACCTCAGGAAACTTCCTGTGGTCTATCTCCTCTGAAAAACAAAGCTGGCATTCTTACAGGAAAGTTTTTTCTTAATGACATTCTGATTCACCCCGAGAGCAGGTTCCCCATGAAAGCAATTGGTTGAAAAATTTATTGCATTAAAGAATTTATTATTAGAAGATATAATAAAAGACACTGAAGTTAGGTTGCAAGAAATCTTATTTCTACTTTTCTGAGTTCAGCTGATTCACCAGCTTTGTGCAATATTTCTATATGGCTTGGTATTGTACTTCCTGTGTAAGGTGTACACTAAAGGTCTGCTTTTTCTCTAAGGAACTTCCAAGCAAATTTTACACATGGGATCTGCAGGTGAGTATGTAAATTCAAGGTAACTCTGCAATATTCTGTGTTTTACTGTGTTCAGTGCTTGAGTTTCCTGTGCCCATCCAGTTGTGGATGTGCAGATCATTCATGAACCTTTTTAGAGACTGGGAACCCGGCCTTTACTTCATGACTAATTAATCTCCCCAGGGACTCTCACCGATGCATAACATTGTGATTTAAAAGAATTTATTGCGAGTAAATGCATATTGAGACACTGAACCTTCATGTTTTTAAAGACTTTTTGAAATCTGTTGCAGAAGGAAAGACACTTTGGGGTTGAGCAGTGAAAAAAGCAGCACTGAGAATATAGGTCAAGACATTAATATAAATTTGATCACTTCCTTTTTATTCACCAACATTCCTCACAATAAATCAGATCACCTCCTCACCCACACACCCCCCGCACACTTCACCCTTCCTGTCCTGATTTCGGATCACCGAATGTAAATCTGTGACAAGGGTATCTATATATAATATTAATGGTGCTGAGGAGTGTTGGTGTGAAGCGTGAGTACTTGCCAAGTAAGGAGTGATCAGAGCAGAGCTGTTCATCCTCTGCAGCATGCTCTACATCATCTGCAGGACAAATGTAACATCATTAGGCAAAAAAAGGCAGCCATTCTGCAAGGAAATGGCTAAGTTGGAGGTACCAATCAATCTCACCAAG